GATGCCCAGGGTGGGAAAGACGCCCCACACTGTAAACCAAATCTACAAGTTGGCTCCTTGTTACAAGTTTGGTTCCAATTCGCATAGGCGTCACCTTGTCGATTCACCAGCCCCAGGCTTGTTGGCTAACAAACTAACAGTTTGTCTACAAGTTTGGTTCCAATTCGCATAGGCGTCACCTTGTCGATTCACCAGCCCCAGGCTTGTTGGCCAACAAACTAACAGTTTGTCTACAAGTTTGGTTCCAATTCGCATAGGCGTCACCTTGTCGATTCACCAACCCCAGGCGTGTTGGCCAACAAACTAACAGTTTGTCTACAAGTTTGGTTCCAATTCGCATAGGCGTCACCTTGTTGAGTACTAGTCTGGGCCTTGTGAACCTACCAACTTCTGGATAGGCATAGCCGTTTCCTTGTCGGTTCAACAACCCCTGGTTTGTTGATGAACTAGCCTTTGACTGGGCATTGCTAGTTTACAAATTGTCAACAAGTAAGTGTACTAACGCTCAGTTCGAACTTGTTCTTCCTTACAATCGCTTTGTTTGCGTTGATAACCTTAAGAACTTACGATTCGCGTTCGTTTTCAATTGCCACGATACTGATTCAGGAAATATTTTCTATACGGACAGGTCATTTTTTGGCTGGAAGTGGTGCACAAAATCATGACTGGCATCAGTTATTGCTCAAAGGCTTGCGCTGACAAGAAACGAAATACTGATGGGTTATATAATCGATGAATGCATACACCACATCCATTCGGAAGTTTCTGGAATCATTAGTATTTATTACGGTCACGTACCTACATCACGTAGTATGTAATTATTACTATTGACTGGAGACAATTCCAAGTGCATATTTTCGAATGGATGTGGTAAATGCATGAGGTATAAGGTATACCTATCGTGCACCGTCAGCATATAAGTCTTTGAAGCAAGAACTGCTGCGTATGTGGAAGAACATGGTTTTGTGCATCGCATCAAGCCAGAAGTATAACATGCCCGTATGACGAATATTTCCACATTGACCATAACAATCATGGCAGTTGCACGATCACGCAGATAATTCGAATAAAGCATGATCGCCAACCAGATTAGCTTTTACAGCCCATATATGTCCATCAGTTAAGTTAAAAATACAAAGAGTTGAATTAAAGGCAAATAAATGTATTTATATATAAAAAAAACACCGACCGCAAAACATCTGCTCACATGTGCATGCAAAGGTCTGGCCCACTTACATTGCGCGCGCAGGGGAAGGGAGGCGTCTCGACCGCGGGTATAGGCACGATTAGTGCGTCCCGCAGGCCAGAGCGGGCCTCACTCACAGCACGAACACCACAGTTCACAGATTTCACTTTTTACTGCACAAATGCTGGAACAGCCCTCGTCGCTGATCCATGCTGCACGGCGGCCGCGCGACAACTGCTGGTTTGAACGGTTTGAAACCGCCGCGCCGGGGCCGGACGGCGACCGCTGATTGGTCCGCCAAGTCTGACGTCACGGGCGCAGCTGACCATGTGTATGCTGACCAGCTGACCAGTACAAGTTAGGCGCCGGTTAAATAACCATGCGGCAACAAGTTTCCAAAACTGGTTAAGAAACAAACGTTGAAACAAATGTAGAGTTGGTCTGGATACTGAGAAGTTGGTGTGCATAGTAACTATTGACTCGTAGTTGTCATCTGACAAGCAATGCACCAGACAACGGCTTGTTTGAAAAGTATCAGTTGGTAAACATACCAAGAGATGATTGGTTATATTACACAAGACTTGTCAATTTGGTTTACAGTGCACCCCCTCTAGCGGCGAAACAAAGAATCGAACCTGGAAATTAATGTTCTTAGCGTAAAGCGGAAGCCTGCCTTGTTAACTGCACAACAATTTGCGAAGCTCAGTTGGGCAACGGCTGGCTGGTGATTGCATGTTTTTTATATGCTGCTTTCAAAAAATATTTTGGTGTCAAAACATTGTAAATATCAAAGAAGGCAGATAATTTTTGCGTCCCTTGCTATAGTCGTGATACATTAACATGCGTGTACTGTGTCCCAAACAGTTTGTTTCAGGGTGTAGTTTTATGGCTAACAAATTGTACTGATTTAATGTTACTTCGGTACCTTGGGGTAAGATGCCCCCTGTCCTGATGGGGAAAGACGCCCCCCTAAATCCGTAGGCTGTCCTTCAAGCAGGCCGTCAAATCATTTATTACAGACTTGTGATGAGAGACAATAGCCGATCAGGGACTATTGAGAGTCCAGTACAGTAGGGTGCTCCCCATGCCGGTCTCTCGGCCCACACAGCGACTTTTTGGGTGGCATCTGACTCTGAGAGCCTTCACGACGGCCTCTGTGGGCCCCATTATTGGCTCCAGGGCCCCTCTCGACATCCTTTGAGGGCTCCCACGTTGGCTCCACGGGCCGCGCTGGCATCTGAGGTCCCCACGATGGGCTCGAGGGCCCTCAAGCATCATGAAGACCTATAAGGGCCCCACAGTGGTCTCCGAACGCCACCACGGAGGCTTGTTTGGCCGCACTGGACTATGATGGCCCTAACGATGACCTCTGAAGCCCCTTACGACTACTTTTGAGGGCCCTTACGATGACGTTTGGTGTCTACTGCAGGCTCGAAGGGACTACTGATTCGTTCAGGCGATTCACGTGCCCATTTGTCACTTATAGTGCAGGGGGGCATCTTCCCCAACGCCAGGGGGCGTCTTTCCCACCCTGTGGGGTAAGATCAGTAGGCGGAACTATGGTCAAGCGTACCCATTTTCGGGAACGCATTTTCGTTCCCATGTTTGGGAACGATAAACCCAAATATGGGAACGCCATGTAGGAATTATTTAAAACAAGAAAAAGAACCGTTAAATGACGTCCAAAAAATATTAAACGATCGTGAACCGCCTGATATTTGTCTCAATATTGTTGGGAAAGAGTTTGATATTGTAAGGCCCATCGTAGTTTCAAATTGTTCCCCTATTTCTAAAGCAGTCCATCATCCGGGCCGCGAGCCCAAATTTGGGAACGCTCTCGTACACTGGCGCTGCAAGCGTTCCTTATTATGGGAACGGCGTACCCAAAGTTGGGAACGATTTCACCGACGCCTTTCAGGGGCTCTTTTCATTAACAAGCATTACGTCCAACGCCGCAAATTATTGTTAACGCAACAATCATCAGATGACCTTTCCGGCAAGACCGTCGCATGTTTCGCCCGGTCTTCTGCGCTTTTATTCCCGTCGATCTCGCAGCGGGCACGCCCCCCTCTGCAGGATTACGTAATTCACAACGCTCAGCGATGTTCAACAAGGTCTTCCATACCTAGGTATATCCACCGTCCGCGCCGAGGGTGGAGACATGTCAAGCACCTGTCTGTTTATCACCGATAGTTGATGAGCACAAGGAAGTATCCAAAAATGGGAACGCTGAATATGTTACACCATCAAAACACCTAGTCCCAATGAAAATATAGTTTTTTCCTTTCTTAATGAGTGTAAGTGGCAAAAGGCCTGGTAGGATGGGCACGAGGAATGATCGAAATCAGCATAAAAATTATAAATAAGCCACACAGAGCGACCTATATAAGAGAAATTCCCCCAAAACGACCATGCTTAGAAACACGGAAGACAAAAACCACGCTCATGACGCTCCTTATAAAACAACGCTAAACAGCTAGCATCCAAATAAAATAGTCTTTCCGGGCTGATAAAATACAGCTGAATAATTTTAAACCACTCAAACTGAGTTTACAACAGTAGTTCGGTAAAATCACTGACGTTCCACGCGGTCGTGCGCCCCGACACCAAAAGTCAACAATATTACCTCGGGACTGTCCGCATGTTCGCTTGCATATGTCAGCATCTGGTGTCGCTAGTATGAAACTTCATAACCAGGCGAAAATTATTATACTTGACCTCAAAATTTAAAAAACGCTTCATTTTCCTTAAAATTGCATGTTAAATGTAGTATAACCCATGTTTTCACCATTCCGTCATTTCAAAAAATCATTAAAAATATCATTCCACGGTCAATTTCCTTGTTCGACGGTCAGATTAAAGATAATTTTATAGAGACTTAGTAGATACTTAAATTAGCGTGCACTTTTTTGAAACGTGATGCACTTATGAGTTTTAGTGGGCGAACGGCCGAAAAATTACCTTCCGTTCTCATAAATGGGAACGCCCGTTCCCATATTTGGGAACTCCGTTCCCAAAAATGGGAACGTTCCTATATGTGGGTACTCATGACCATAGTTCCACCTACTGAGATGCCCCCTTTCACTTCTTCAGGAAAATGCTTAATAGCAAAAAACGTTATCATATTTCAGGCACGAAAGTGTGATATTTTTGGAGAAAAATGATGTCTTCCGTTGAAACTCCAAGTTTTTGCTTTCCGATCGTCATTTTCGAATAATATATGACATAGTAAAACCCTGGGCATCTTTCCCCACTCTCCCCTAATGGGGAGGTCGCAAAATTGACCTGACCTTAGGTCATCGATATCAAAATTCTGAGATACACATCTAGTACATACTATTTCTTTTAGCAATCGCTGAAAGTTCCAAAGTGATCGATCACTCGGTGTAGCTAGGGCAGACATTGAAACTTTTTTGAGGTCTGGTCTTTTCAAGTGACCTGGTGACCTGACCTTGAATGACCTTGGTCTGAAATTTTCACAACATGTGTAGTATTGATGCATGATAAGGTGTGCCAAAAACGGCGATTCGCGAAAAACCACAGGAGGGGTGTTCAAACACCACTCCAGCAGGGCGCGGGTTAAGGTTAGGTCATTCAAAGTGACCTGGTGACCTGACCTTTCAAGGAAGAAGGTCATAACTTGATCACAATGTGTGAAGTCGATAAGGTATCATGTTAAGTTTCGTTGCGTTACGCGCCGCGTTTTTCTTCGCTACTTACGAAAAAAACTTAAGGAAGAGGCAGACCTCCGCCCTCCCCTCCCATCCTAGTCAAGCAATAGTCACCGATTGCAGTGTTACAGTGGACCTCTTACCTTGCATTACCACGGTGCGCTGCGACCCTGCCAAGCGGTCATCCCCCGTGCCCCACTGGAGAATCACTGACCGGTCACGACCCCGCCGCCGCCGCTGGGCATAGTGACGTCACGGTCAGTCAGCTGACCACCGCGCCGGCCGCACAGCTGACCGGCCAACGATGACTGAGGTCAGCATACGCTACGCTAACGTAAAATCTACGCTTCTGCGTGATTTCGGTTCGCGTCGTGACGTTCATCTCATGATTAACCGGGCGGCATTGGGCGCCCTACACTGCAGGTAGGCATGGTATTACGTGGAACGATATCCTTCAAAAGCCGACTATAGTTGATTTTTAACCTGATTTTAAGTTGACTTAAGTCTGTGTTATCGGCGAAGGTGGATGGGTCCATCCGACCCTTCCCACCGTAAACGTGCGAGGGTTAAATAGTACATACGTGATGTAAAAAAGATGGAAAAGCATAAATCGAAAAATCAAAATACAATAAGTAAACATTAACATTTTATGGTAATTTACATATGGGGGGAGGAGGGGGGGGGAACTTGTGATGACGCCCATCGTCCGATGAGATGTTACCTTCATATGTCCTTGTAACTTGCACTTGAATCGTAATCCGCAGCAAGTGATCACAGCGGATCGCGCCAGAACTTCAATGACACGAATAAATAAACAGCAAGGGCGGAGGGGCGGGGTGTCTGAAACGCACTGCAGAACAGAGATGCAGGCTTCTACTCGGTGAACCTACCGCGCCGTGGAACAATGAAGTCCTTTATTGAGTTGCTTGGTAATGCTTCAGATAGATAGCATATGCCCAACAATATTGTTACATAATAGTATGAAGTGCATAAGTAGAACTATGACACAAACGAGCATAAATTACGCATCACTTCACGAACTAGTTAAACCACGGTAAATACGGTAAACGGTGAGGCCCGGGAACCACGGCATACGCTCTATTTATTCTAGCGGTCCCCGCCAGCGTCCCTCTCTGAGGAACCGTGTTCCATTTGCGCTGCTAGCTCGGCTGGAAGTTGCACCTCTGGACGGCGGTGGGCCGGTCGGTCGAGACGCCCCTCACATCGCCAGGCGCCGCCGGCACCAGATCACCTACCTCCCACGGGCGCTGTCAGTCCGTCCGGATCGCATCGGTCTGACATTGTCCTCACGAACACTCAACTATTGGCGGGTGTCGCCATCTCCGAGGCTAAAAATGGCAAATATCAGTGTTGTGGATATCTCAAAGATTGGTAAGTCGTTACTTTCTTTTCGTCATGTCAGTGCGTTACGTAATTATAAACGTGAGACGTTCCAAAATGACGTGAATATGGAACATGATTACCAGACATTCTCTGCCTAAAAACTAGAAAGTCATTTGCTAAATTTACCTCATTTTGATATTGTAAAAAGTAACTTAGCTTTCTGAGCAGACATTTCAATGTGTATCCTATTATAACGGAATACATGTAGGGGAAGTTGGGGCAATGCCGGAGTTGGGGCAAAGCCGAAATTCGAGATATTTCGAAAACCGTAAGACATGGATGCCACCTGTCAGTGATGCTCTGAAGCTTAACCCGCGCACCGACGGGGGGGGCGGATATCCGCCCCCCCTGAGGTTTTTCGCAAATAGCGGGAAAACCGCGGCGCGTAGCGCCGCGAAATTTGGTATGACTATAACCTCATCAATTTTACACATGGTGTGCAAGTTTGAACTTCCTACCTTTTAAGGTCAGGTCACCAGGTCACTTTGAATGACCCAACCTCAAGTCACTTTTTTGCAACTTTGTCACCGTGCCAGAGCTACAGTAGATGTCGGAGGCCTTTGAAAGTCGCAGGATATTATAAGGTCATTAGTAGCTACAATTTGTATATCTCGGAATTTTGATATCGGTGACCTAAGGTCAGGTCAATTTCGCGACCTGCCCATTATAAGTCAATGGGGGAAAAATCAACTCCCTGTTTTTACCACTAAAACGGGTCGGAATGGCCCCATATACCATACATGACTTCATATACGATCAACCTTCACTACCTTGAGGTCTGTTTTGCTGTTGGGCAGCTGTGAGGTCATGTGACGTCATCAAAGGTCACCAAAGATTTTTGGCCAATAACTCCGTACAGGAACAAGATACAGACGCGTGGATGGTCTCATTGTGTTCAGCTCGTCAAGACGCATCGAATGGTATACATGATGACCTCGAGGTCACGTGACCTGAGGTCAACCTTTGACCTTGACCTTTCGAGGTCAACATATATATCATTCGATGCGGATTGACGAGAGGATCACGATGATGCCCTTAGTTTGTTCCTATCTTGACTAAATCGAAAGTTATTCGAGAAAAACTATCTCCATATCTAGCGCCGCCATTTTGACTTTTTCGACCCCTGTGACGTCATCTTTGACCTGACCTGAAAATGACCTTAGTAAAAATTGTAGATCTTGGCCGTGCGTATCCGATGCCGTTTACCGCTTGTCGCTATCTTGCTTCGTTCTCGAGATCTCAGGGGGGGGGGGCGGTCATCCGCCCCCCCCCCCGTCGGTGCGAAGTTGGCGCAGACCCCCGTCGGTGCGCGGGTTAAGTGACTACAATTATCGCATGTTTGTTACGAGTCGTCATTCGGAATACTTCGACTGTGAGGGCGCCAAGAGCGTTTTCAAGGTACGTTTCTCTTGTACTGCATGCGCCTTTGAAGCTGCATTTCTTACTCATTATGCTACCGTTTGTCTGGCCAATTCGGTCAAGTAATCTTTAGCATGTCTTTGCATAAGTGTGCTGCCTATTTGAAATTTATACAGCACGTTGAAAAGTTATGGGCCTGCAAATGAAAGTATGGCTGGCTGGGGTAATGCCGAAAACGTGCGATTACGCACGTGTTAAAAGCACGCTACGTGGACTTTACTGCTGTAGAATAGCAACGCGTATTTCTAGTCACACAAATTACACTTTCAACCGACACAACGGCCTGTTACCTAAAAGGAATGATTTACCTGGCATTTTCTTATTATATCACACAATTATAACTTCCAGTGTGCACCGCGTCCTCAAGCTCTTAAAACGCGTGTCAGCTTTGATGAATTCTGGATAAAGTTTGAGATAAAATGGCAAAACATCAATGTCGGCATTCCCCGTAGATCATTTCTCCCATTTTCGGCTTTCCCCGCAGTCCGGGGCAACGCCGAAAAAGTCACTTCTTTGATATTTTTAGTTTGTGCGCTTAACGGTATGCGAATTCATCAAATGCGCCTGGTATGTTTGAAAGGCAAAAGACTGGTCCTCGAATGACGCCAACAAGAATAGCTTATGTTGTCTACCTTGCGTGCTACGGGCGTCAGAAAAAAAGTCTTCGGCGTTCCCCCAACTTCCCCTATGTACAGGTCTCGCGGGTTTTAGCGGTAGATTTTACACCTAGAAAATTTAGTGTACTTCAGGCTATATCTTCGTCGTCTTAAGCTTTTTAGTGTTGAAGATGCGATCGACTTGTTGGGTAACAAGCCGGCCATGATCGTGTAAAATGGCTTCATCGTAGATCGTTTAGTTTTTTAGATATAATCGGAAATGTAAACGTGCAAAACCTACCGCTTAATCTCGCGAGAGCCGTACGTTACGGTGTCCACGATCATTGTTTATGCCACAGTTATAAACCTAATATCAGATATTCCATGTTCCTTTCTTGGCTGCTATGCTAGCTAACAAGATAGCTCTGTGCGCCACTGGATGAGAGTGAGCCGCTCCTCGTCCCCAGGTCTGGACGCTGGCGATCCGTCCGCGGAGGACCTGCTGAGTGTCGGGCGGGACATCGTTACCGCCTTCCGGGGCAGCGGGTTCGCCTACCTCCAGGGTCACGGGGTCAGCCAGCAGCTGCAGGACAAGACGTTCGCCGACGCCAAGGGCTTCTTCCAGCTGAGCGAGCAGGAGAAGCTGCAGTACGAACGCTTCGTGAAGACGGGCTTCAACGGCTACACGCCAATCGGAGGCGAGAACAACGCCTACGCCAATGAGGATGGGGCCTACCTGATTGACTACAAAGAGTGCTACGACCTTCACGTTAAAGGGGAGGTAAGGAGAATCACCTTTGGGGAGTGCGCTCGGCCTAAATCAGCAGGTACTGAAGAGACATCTGATATTAGGGGCACCGAACACGTGAGGAACGTTGAATTTACCATGTTTTAGATGTCACGATGGTTATTATGCATGAAAATCAGATCCTAACGAAATTCCCTTCGGTTGCCATGGCCACATCGAAACTAGCTCGATGGCGCATTGTCAAGCACGAAACATTCCTGTTCTTTCTAATCGTTATTGCCAATTCCGCTATTAATCATAGGATCCAGTAACGGATGCCGTACTGGGGTATCATTGCAAATGTTGTTCTTGCCGGGATTTATTAAGGGATACAGTCCTCATCAAGTTATCAGTCTAACATACATCCTGTGCTGCAGTTGTATCCATCATTCTTACCAAAGACGACGATTAGCTTCGTTGCAGTATGAACTCCGTTCTGAAACTGCTCGTAGTTCGTACCCTTACCGCGCTGACCCTCCCCCGATCGGGGCAGGACTACCCGTCGGCGGTGTGTCCGGCTCTGGGGCCTCAGCTGGAGCTGTTTGGCTCGCACTGCTGCCGGCTGACGGAGCGGCTGCTGGCCGCGCTGGACGCCGCGCTGGGCAGCGGCCAGCTGCTGACCAGCTGCCACCGGCGCCAGCTGCAGCCGGGCGGCTGCTCCGAGATGCGCGTGCTCTACTACCCGCCGGTGCCGGACGGCCTGCCCGAGGGCACCGTCCGCTGCGGCGAGCACACCGACTACGGCACGTTCACGCTGCTCTTCCAGGACGACATCGGAGGCCTGGAGGTATGTACGCGGAGGGTGGGACTGGGAGAGTGGGGCTGGAGGTGTGACTGCGTGCGTCTGGGGTAACGGGATACGGTGGTTGTATGTAAAGGTCTAGAGGCACTGGAGGCGGATGGAACATTCACATCAGAGGCCTAGAGGCACGAGGGACGAGGGTTACTATAGGTGCGGAGCTCTGGCGGCAATGGGCCAGGAGTTACTGGGATGTGTTAGAACATCAGTAGATTGCATGCAATTTCCCTCTTTCCCTCTTTCTTACCTGCTTATGCTTAACTTCAAAATCTGACATTGCCCTCTGACCGCCAGTTCAAGCGCCGTCGATCGCATCGATAAGCTAACATCGTTAAGTCTCCCATCTATGTATGCAGACTGTGGTGAGGTCAGTCCCCCACGCAGTGACTGGGCTCCCCTGCGGCAGCTGCTGACGCCCGACCAGAAGTGGGAGCCGGCCGCGCCGGTGCCGGGCACCATCCTGGTCAACATCGGCGACATGATGGAGCTGTGGACGGCCGGCCAGCTGCGCGCCACCAAACACCGCGTGTCCGTGCCGGCCGGAGAGCGGCGCCGCGCCGCCGCCCGACAGTCGGTAGTGTTCTTCGTGGTGCCCGACGACAAGACGATAGTGGCGCCACTCAGCGGCGACCCCAGCTACCAGCCGGTGGACGCCGGCGCCTTCCTCCGCAAACAGTTCGCCGCCACCTATCCCAAGTTCTCCGAGATGCGGGTCAAGTAAACTGGGGGAGAGGACTGGTTTCATACGCTGATGGTAGCGTAAAAGTTAACGTTTTACATCCGTATTTTTAGACGATTTGCTGCTGGACTCCCCTGCCCGCGCCATATTCTGAAATGATGCTGGCTGTTCTGAAATAAGATGACAGTTGTTCTTGTACCGCTATTGGTATTGTCTACATAGAGCTCAAATGCAATGCGTATCTTTCGGTAAACGTTATCGGTTCTTTTTGCCTCAGCCTACGTGCCTTTGCCAGTGTATGCAAACGGCTTGTGCATAACCAATGACCATGCATTGATAAGGACAAATATGCAATAAGCGCAGCTCCAGTTGAAGGTCTATGTTGTTGTAAACATCACCCAATGCAATGTTTTCACAATCAACCAAATAAAGCAATTTCAGCGTGAGGTAACACTTCCAACATTTTCAATGTTTTTCAGAAGTCACTTATGCTACTAAATCGATTCAGACGCCGTCGGGCTTCCGCCTGAGCCACGATAAGACCGGTAGACTGTACAGTCGGGGACTGGGGTGGGGCAGACCCGCGGTGTGGGACGGGTGGGGTGGACCCGCGCTGGGTGCCGGGGCCCCTTTGTCCAGGGCCACCGGCCGACCTCCCGAGGCGGCACCACGGCGGTTTGGAGCACCGTCTGTGAGGTCAGCGCCAGGAGGCTGACTCCCTGCACCAGTCACAGTCCTGACGTGATCTTTGCGACCGTAATTGAGATACAACCCCTCAGCGGCCGGTCTGCTTCCCTTCGCCTGTTGACCGGTCTGGGCCGGGCGACTGCCGACTGTTTTGGCCGTGGCTCGGACGCTGGTTTTTGCCCTGCTCCGCGTGTCGCCGCCCCGGGACGCGGTGTGCTGGTGGCGCCGATAGCGGACTGTTCCGTACTGTCGGACCTGCACCGTCTGCCTGTGGGACGGCTCCGGGACGTGGTACTTGTATGTGACCGGGTCAAAGTGAGCGTGCGGCCCGTAGTCGATCCGGACAGAGAAGTCGTGTGACGGCTTGTAGTAGCTCAAACTGAACCCTTTCTTCTTCTTCTTGTGCCCCAGTATCTTGACTAAAACGATGGTGATTGTGCTGAAAACAGGACGACTGTCACAGTACAAATGGGGTAGCAATCTTACATGAGCAATAGTTAGTCTAATTAGTATTGCGTGATGATTAGTATTGCGTGAGAGCACAGTCATGCTTTATAAGGTGTTTAAATATGAACTACTGAATGAAGGTGACAAATACTTCAGGAGCTAATGTCTCCATCGCACCGCAATACAGATCTTCCTGAATCTCCTCTCTCTCTCTCTCTCTCTCTCTCTCTCTCTCTCTCTCTCTCTCTCTCTCTCTCTCTCTCTCTCTCTCTCTCTCTCTCTCTCTCTCTCTCTCTCTCTCTCTCTCTCTCTCTCTCTCTCTCTCTCTCTCTCTCTCTCTCTCTCTCTCTCTCTCTCCTTTTCTTTCCATTCCACTCACATCACGCCGACCACTGCGACGATCGGCACCACGATGATCAGTGCGGTACGCAGCTTCGACATCCGCGAGGTCTTCTTCGCCGCCTGGTGTTCGCTGGACGTCGTGTTACTGGCGCTGCTGGACCCGTGGAGGGAGGCCGTTCCGTTCGTCTGTGCTGGCTCCGGTTTCGGCAGGACCTCTGACGCTGTAGTGGTTGAATCTGCCGTTGGTGTGATTTCAGGCTCCATGGCTAGCAATGAAACGGAAATAAAATGGGTACATGCAGCATGCATAATGCATATACAATATACATTGTACAGTGTACATGCATATACAGGCGGTGCGGAAGTTGTGTATTTCAGTACCTCCATAGCAATAATAAACGCAATGAACCAACGACCCAGCGAAGCATATGCAGATAGACGAATTGCATCTATGCCCTAGTCCCTACCGCGTTTTATTTTTATCGGGTCTTCAATGTCTAACATTTATGTCTAGGGGAATCTCACACTTCTGCCATGCACATACAACATGCGTTACAATTTACCGCAAATATCGGACCCGCTGTCCTACCACACCTCTCTGTGGGAAGGACCCGCTGTCCGACCTCTGCCTGTCCTCTGGGACCCGCTTCTGCCCGTCCTCTGAGACCCGCTGTCCTACCTCTCTCTGTCCTCTGGGACCCCCTGTCCTTACTCCTTACTCTGCCTGCTCTCTGGATGATGGATGTTTCCTACCTCTGTCTGTCCTCTGAGACCCCCTGTCCTTACTCTGTCTGCCCTCTGGGTGGATGTTTCCCACCTCTGCCTGCCCTCTGGGTGGAGGTTTCCTACCTCTGCGTGTCCTCTGGATGGAGGTATCCCACCTCTGTCTCTGTCCCCTGAGACCCCCTGTCCTACCCCTGCCTGTCCTCTGGGACCCGCTGTCCCACATTTGCCTGTCCTCTGGGTGGATGTTTCCTACCTCTGCCTGTCCTCTGGGTGGAGGTTTCCTACCTCTACCTGTCCTCTGGATGATGGATGTTTCTTACCTCTGCCTGTCCTCTGGATGATGGATGTTTCCTACCTCTGCCTGTCCTCTGGATGATGGAGGTTTCCTACCCCTACCTGCCCTCTGGGTGGAGGTATCCTACTTCTTCCTGTCCTCTGAATGAAGGGTTCCTACCTCTGTCGGCGAAGGACCTGCTGCCCTTTGGGTGGATGTTTCCTACCTCTGCCTGCCCTCTGGATGATGGATGTTTCCTACCTCTGCCTGTCCTCTGGGTGGAGGACCTGCCGTCGACTGAGATGTGGCTCGCGGGCAGGACCACCAGTACCAGGCAGATGAGGCCGCAGTGTAACGCCACCGACCGCAGTCTCATCTCGGGCGAACAGCTGATACGAGACAGTGGTACGGCAATACGGCTGATACGAGACAGTGGTACGGCAATACGGCTGAGACGAGACAGTGGTACGGCAATACGGCTGAGACGAGACAGTGGTATGGCAATATGGCTGGGACGAGACAGTGGTACGGCAATACCGCTAAGACGAAACGGCAATGCGGCTGAGATGCACGGCAATACGGTTATAGGGCTTAATGGGAACGGCAACACGGCTGAATCCAGACGATACTCATTGGCATATGAGGTTGGCTATATGATACCACAAGAATTTTATTTATTTATTTATTTTTCGGTTCACCCGACAACCACAAACAAGTGGGCATTACGACGGGAACTGGCAAAAGCACAGATAACGCAGCATCGCACCGCTCGCACATATCATACAAGATTGTTAACAACTTCACAATAGGTATACACATTCGAATAAGACGCATCGCAGTGCTACATTCCTAACCGCTTAATTCGCCAGCATCCGCTTTACTTTTAAGGTATTTGCTAAACTCGGCGATAGAGCATTGTCGTAAATGTGGAGGTAACCCATTCCATATCTTACAACCGTGATACGATAAGGATGCTTTTTTGTATTCGGTTTTAGGGATGGCAAGGTCCAAATTGCCACATTGCCTCGTCATTCGCTCAGATCGTTTCATTTTAAAAAGCGATGAAATAGCATTTGGAGTATTTTCTGGGAATAGAAGACTTTTTCGAATAATTTTCAGCACAGCCATATTATGCTCGGCCCCAACATCACCATGCCAAGCTAATCTCTGTGATTCACGGCCAGCAATACGCCGCGCAAATTTTATGATTTTCCCTATTCTTTTCCGTTGCGTTGCATTGCAACTTCCCCAGACAGATATGCAAAAACGAACGTGGGGGAGGACTAAAGCATTGATAAGAAGCACAATCGTTCTTAGGGGCATAATGTGGCGAAGATGACCAAGACGAATCAGCATGCCTATCGATTTCCCCACAACGGTGCTAACATGTCGATCCCATGATAGAGACTGGTCGAGCGTAACGCCTAAACTTACGATGGATGAACTGATCGCAATGCTGGTATCAAATATATTGATAAAAAATATTGCGTGGCATGCGGCAGTAAAATGATCGAAAGGTACGATACCAAGGTTCAATCAGATGTAGCACCTGCGGATGCATTTTAACTTCTTCAGCCAATCCATCTATTCATTTGTCCATCCAACCGTCCGCCCGTCCGCCCGTCTATCCGTCTGTTCGTCTGTCCGTCCGTTCGTCCGCCTGTCTGCCCGTCCGTCTGTCTGTCCGCCCGTCCGTCTGTCCGTCGTTCTGCTGATTCCGTCTTTGTCTATCTGAATTTCCGAATCAAAAGCAGTTATCGATGTAGCGAGTGCCTAAGCCGGTAATAACGAGCCAAGGAGCCCAATGTGGCTATCTAAGCTCAAAATACATGTCGGAAAGTCACTCCCAGTATCAACAGATTGTTTTAGGTACCTAACAAATATCGTTTGGCAACCCAGTGCCCACAATGCTTTTAAAAGTGATCCGAGTAGGTACGCAGTACCTACTTAAACAGAGCGCCACACTCACCGATATTCCTGTTGGAGCAAATTATGGCAAAGCCTTCCTGTTCTACCACCCTTCCAGCAAAGCAGCAAGTACTGAAGTGATAAGAATACAACCACGCACATGCCCCCAAACTTTCACTCACTTTCACTGAATTTTAGCCGCGTAAGGTTGGAGGAGCTCAGTTCGTCACTGTGCCTTATCTCTGATAAAACTTAACTTTCGCTTCCCTAGCCTGCTTAGTTCCAGCTCGACGTTTTGTCGTATAACTTGCCACGCTTGTGTCATACCTATGCTATAAAAGGGACCCCCCACCTTCAAAAAGTCAATAAACTGACATGAAATTGATGTAACGTCGTTCAGAAAGTGCGAAGATAAATATCTACTGTATTTCGCCGAAAACTATTCGCCGGTTTTGAGACATTACTTTTATTTTTGTTAATTTTTGGGGGCCTCCGCAGTCTGCTGTTCCTATGATGTCATTTGGAGGCAATAATTTGGCATTTTAACTCGGCAGTTGCTGAGGTATTCCGCCACCCACCGTTTGCTGGGGGGGGGGGGGGCGTTAAACGTCCCCAGCCGATAACTCGACTTCGATAACCAAAGGGTACAGCGAAACGCACGAGACGGCAAACGAAAGAACGCGACGAGACGCTTCAGATGAATATTTGAAAATTGAAAGTTGAATTTTCAGGTCACAGGTCTGATCAAGGTCAGGTCAAACATCTGAAATTGGGATTCCAGTAGCATGGAGTTTAGAACAACTTAAGTGGGAACAACCGAAAAAAGCATGGAGTTTAGAACCTCGCACTGGGCGTCTCTCGAGCTCGTCATAAACTGTGTCAAAACTGTGCACAATCCTTCATAGAAGTGCTACACGAATGTCAGATTCATGTAGGGGTCAGTCAAGCATAGGTCAGGGTCAAGATCAGGTCAATCAGGTAAGCATATATCACCGAAAGTCAGAACTGGTATTCGCAGCATATGCCGCATGGTTCAGAAATACTTTTGGGTGTTGCACACGATGGTA